CTGAGATAAATTAGTGAAACTTTATCCAAATAGCGATGCACTTTTTTGCCCTTGTTCGAGTCAACCTGACCCATTTGGACCCAGCAGAAGGGAGTATCAGTGCTACGCCCACTCTCTGCTCGAGCAGAGGGTAAGAAAGTGGGTTGATATTTGGACAATGAATTTGAAATTTGGGGTTCAGTTGATAGCACGAGCAGAAGAACGTAACAAAGTTCTTTGATTTGTAATGAACTCAGGAGCCCTTTCAATTTTATCGATTGATAAAATAAATTTCATATTATTGTTATCATTTTCACCCGAAAATCTCATCGTATGAAGTGCATTGCGTAGCTACACTCATGCTCGGCCACACAAATCCCCATTCACGTTCACTGAGTTACATAATAAACATAGAAACGTAAACTAGAAAGTCTTTAGTGTATCTAGTATCTACTGAATCACATTGTCATTAAGTGCAAATCACTCATGCACAAATAATAATGTTTTCAAGGCAAATTCCATGATAACGGCACATTTCATTAGTCCCGTAAACAAGGACATGACAATAGCGTATGACTGCACTCACTGCTTCGTTTGTGGCGTAGGAAGCGTAGGAGGTGGAGCAATGATTAGAAGGGATGTAGGGAACGTAGGAGGTGGAGGGAACGTAGGAGGTGTAGGAGGCGTAAAAAAAGAGGTGTAGGAGTTGTAGGAGGCGTAGGAGGTGGAGCAATGATTATAGGGGATGTAGGGTGACGTAGGAGGTGTAGTAGGTGTAAGAGGCGTAAAAAAAGAGGCGTAGGTGTAGGAGGCGTAAAAATGAAAAAAAATCTCTACATTTTTTGTGTTATTGTTAGTAGTTAATTAATTGAGAAAGCAGTAATTTTTTGATTAATCAAGAATTTTCCGACCCAAAAAAATGGAGGCCACCTCAATCGCAGTCGGAGAGGCTTCGATAAATGTTCCCGTCAGGCATTTGACGATTAAATAACGTCGTTTATTAAGCGTTATTTCATTAAAATCAACTAGTAATCAAGGTCATTAAAAAAACTCGCGATCAGCATTGTTACAACAAAATTAATCGATTCGTAATCAACGTTTTCTCAACGTCATTTGTTAGGAGTGTCGGATACAAGCATCCTGAGCTTGACCTTGAGAGAGAAGGATGCAGGCGAGGGAAGCTTGCAAGCTGATCCCTGAGTGCTGAGCAGCATCAGGAACATAATGCTGGCGATGAAACACCACTAAAAATACTAAACTTTGAAAATATTTTCCACTTTTTACGGTGGAGAGATGCGGTTGAAAATTAATACCCTGGCGATGGAAGCGGGGATGAGGGGTGTGAGTATGGAGGGTAGATGATGAGGGATGCTGCATCGCCAGGGTGACTGGGTGGGCGACTAAGCCCACCCAGCGACTAAACTACTAAAAACCCACACCAAGCATATAATGTGAAGCAAGTCTAGCAGGACATTCTGGTGCCGATGAGGGATTCGTAACATATAACGAGAATTAAATCTACGGTTTCCGTCCGTAAAATTTAAGTATCTTATAGACATAAAATCAAAGAAAATAAGTAAAGTATTATCTTTGATAAAATCTCTTCACAGCTTATTAGGCTATTCGGCTAAATATGCGCAGTTGTCTTACATTGCGATCAAGCACTTATAATTTCTACCAATTACTGTTAAATTGCACTAAAGCAATTAAAAAGTAATAGTATTAGTAAGTAATCATAATGTCTTGCAAATTAAAGTAATAATGAAATAATTAAAACGCTATTAAACTAAGCCCCGTGGAACTAACGAAGATAAGTTTCATCTCGTTGTTAATTTAACGAGCTTACTTTTCCTGAAATTAATGAGTAATAGTTTCACTTTGTGGTAAAACTAACTAGTGGTAGTTTCATGACGCGTTCAGGTTCATGACGCGTAAGGATCAGGTTCATGGCATGTCGAAACTAACAAGGGTCAGGTTCATGGCGTTTTGAAACTAATAAGGTTCAGATTCATTGCGTTTTGAAACTAACAAGGATTAATTTCACGGCGTTTTGAAACTAACAAGGCTTAGTTTCACGGCGTTTTGAAACTAACAAGGCTTAGTTTCATGGCGTTTTGAAACTAACAAGAGTCAGGTTCATGGCGTTTTGAAACTAACAAGGATTAGTTTTATGGCGTTTTGCAACTAACAAGAATTAGTTTCGCGACGTTTTGAAACAAACAAGAGTCAGGTTCATGGCGTCTGGAAACGAACAAGGATTAGATTCATAGCGTTTTGAAACAAACAAGGGTCAGATTTATTGCGTTTTGAAACAAACAAGGATTAGTTTCACGGCGTTTTGAAACTAACAAGGATCAGATTCATGACGTCTTGAAAAGAGCAAGATTCAGTTTCATTGCGTTTTGAATCTAACAAGGCTTAGTGTAATGGCGTTTTGAAAACTAACATGAGTTCAGGTTTATGGCGTTTTGAAACTGACAAGGGTCAGGTTCATGGCGTTTTGAAAACTAACATGGGTCGGGGTAATGGCATTTTGAAACTAACATGAGTTCAGGTTCATGGCGTTTTGAAACTGACAAGGGTCAGGTTTATTGCGTTTTTAAACTAACAAGGGTCAGGTTCATGGCGTTTTGAAACTACCAAGGCTTAGTTCAATGGCCAGGAAGCGGTCACGGCAAGCAGTGCGGCGACGTGTGCAGCGCAGGACGCAGCTCAAGCATTCGAGGGCAGACTGCAGCAGACTGCACGACTCTGCGTCGCCAGCAGCCGCGCCAGCATCGATACATGACATTTAAACACGACATAGTTGCTGAAAATAATGATTATTATCTTAATTGTGTACACTATCGTGATGAGGTAAAGTGACGCGAGTGTCATGAACTCCTCGATCCTCGTATCTTATTATATTATAAGCTTATTTCAAAACTGTATCGTTACTGCATATATAAATAGTTTTTTAATATATAAGTATAAGATATCGTGATGAAGAAAGTGACGCGAGTACACTGAATAAGTCATGAAATTATAACTCTTGACAAAGACTTTACAATTCGTTGGATAAAGTACTTGGAGTAGACTTATTAACAACGTATTGGGGAAACATTTATTATATATACAATATATATTAATATATACTACTAACAATATTGCAACATTACTACAGGCTTAATAAATAATGCGCACCCACGACATCGGTATTTTTGAGGTTAAAAATAGTTAAGATTTCCGAATTCCTCCAAGATGAAAATTTAGTGCAAGAAGTAAATGAAAAATTCTGACCGTATTAATTTTTTCTATGGTGTTACTTAGAGAAGCCATAAAATGAAACCACGATGGAATATACTTTCCAGCGTATGTGAATATGAAGCAATTAAATACTAAATAAAGCGTACATAAAGCAAGCCTTGCAGTCCAGTCAAGCGTAAGTTTCTAGACATTAATTCTATCGTGTTTCAATTTTAAGGAATTAATTATGAATTATAAGACATTTGCGACGCTTGAATTCTATTGCATTGAATGTTGAATGTAAATTAATGTTGTTAGGAGGAACCTAAAATTATGCGATGCATAATCGATCACGCAAATAAAAATCAAGAGAATTAGTGAATATTTGACAACGCATTGAGATGTGAGGCCAAGAGAAATATTCACGAGTATGGTTGATGAGAGGCCAAGTAATTCACGAGTATGGTTGATGTGAGGCCAAGAGAAATATTCACGAGTATGGTTGATGTGAGGCCAAGTTATTCACGAGTATGGTTGATGTGAGGCCAAGTAATTCACGAGTATGGTTGATGTGAGGCCAAGATATTCACGAGTATGGCTGATGTGAGGCCAAGTAATTCACGAGTATGGTTGATGTGAGGCCAAGTTATTCACGAGTAATTTATTCACCGCTTATTTATACGCACTGGATATTGGATGATGCGTCATCATCAACATCTGTCGTAATGCGTCTTTTAAAAAATAAGGAAAATTTCAAGAAATTCACAACATTGCGTAAAATAAATGCGAATTTAAATTATTATGAAATTTATACCTTGAATAAAATAATTATGAAAAAATTCGTCAAAATATAATAAATATGAGAGTATATTGATCAATTGCAAAAAAGAACATACATTAAGATTGCAATTCAATGGGGAAATTCGAGAATCGTAAAATACGACGAAAATTTTTAAAAATAGTAGCGAAAAATTGAATAAAAATTGTATAAAACCACACACGAGGATTACAAAGCATGAAGACTAGGATTAAGAAGCCTGAAGACTAGGATTACAAAGCCTGAAAGCAACATTAAACCACAAACAAAAGCCAGCTAAAAGCGATTCGTTATTGCGGGACAATATAGGCTAAAACGTGGACGATCATAAAGGCAAGACTGTCGAAATAAAAATATAATAATAAAATCATTATCTAATCTAGAATGATGGTGGGATATTAAATAAGTTAGCGGCAGCAAAGCACAGAGATGCGATATGAGACTTGGCAGTCAGACAACACAGCTTTCGTAGGCGCAGATTTACAGGCGCGTTCACGGCGGCGAAAACTGGCGCAGTGGCGCCGCCTGCTGCGGGGCGGTCCAGCCGTCGTGGCGTGAGGTTGTGTGGCGAGAAGCATGCCATAGCTCTGCATGATGTTATTTAGTCATTATGCATTATGTTATTTAGTCAAGCCCTAGCTGTGCATGATGTTATTTAGTCATGCCCAGCTGTGCATGATGTTATTTAGTCATTATGCATTAGGTTATTTAGTCATGCCCTAGCTGTGCATGATATAATTTAGTCATGCACCACCTGTGCATGATGCTATTTAGTCATGCACCACCTGTGCATTATGTTATGCCCCAGCTCTGCATAATGTTAGTTAGCCCTGTTTACTCCAGTTGTGCCGTTATTTAATCTAATTTAAGTTTGTTGTTTTTGTTACATTTTAAAATATGTGCACACAAGTCAACATAGCAGAGCAGACAGAAAGCATGTATGCTGCTGTGTAGGCCAGCAATGCAACGTACTAGTTACCTCGGCAACAGCAGCGACCTGCCGCTCGAGCTGCAGGCGTTCCCGCGTCACCGTCCTGATGATGTGCTCCAGTTCCAGATTGCTCTGAGCCTGGCTGATCTGCGATAGAATCTTAGAATGTAACGAATATAAATTATTTTTAAGTATAACATAACATAACATAGTGATCTCGGCGCTGAAGCGTAGGCCTGATGTGGCCTGTTGCCGATTCTTTTCCTTTTCGTGCCTTGTTCACAGAAGATTTAAAATCGTGTCATTTGACCGGATCTTTTCATGACTGACGATAGTTTGAATACATTTATTTTGTTTAATTAGTATTTAATATAAAAATGTCAGAGATAACGAACGACCACGAATTAGGCGACGCAACGATGGAAATGTTTTGCAGGGAGCATTTCACCGCTGGACACGAAATAGTGATAAGGGGTTTAGACTTGTAGAGAGACTATAAATAAAGGGCAATGTCTAATTTCCGACGCTTTCCATTACCATCAACAATCAAACAAGTATATTCATTATGCCATTCAATTGTGTAGCACGCTTTATTAGTTATGAAAAAAGTAATTGGCAACCATTAGTATATAAAAAACAAATTGAAGCCGCCGGAAATCACTTCAAACCGTAGGCAAGTGGAGTTATATTTTTGATTACTAACATTCACATTACAATTATTGTTTCAGTGATCATGAAAGAAGCCTTTACATAATCCCGTACAATTAGCTTTTGGGAATAATCAGGGTTGGCAATGATTAAATCAAAATGATTAAATCATGTGATTAAATCACTTGATTTTTTTATAAAAAAATCATGATTTTTTTGATTTTTTCAATTTTTTTGATTTTTTCATATAATTGAATATATTGAGTGGCAGTCTTTAATTTATATTGAGGTTGTTATTCATGGTTTAGTATAAATGTACTATGAATGACAAATTGGTATATAAACTTGCCTTTAGTGTGTATTAGGTTCCACGAAATTGAATGTTTTTGGTACAGAGGCATCAAGTGTGCAATACATTGTATGTAGCTAGCAGCTTAGGTAATTCTTACAAGGCAATAAGAAGTCTTTACCTATTTGACTATTTGTTATATATTGATTACAATATACTATTTAAATGTGTTAGCTAGCTTATACAGGGTGGGGCAGAACTGATTGAACAGTTTTGAGCCAAAATAAAAGTGTAATGGAGGTACATAAAGAAGAAAGTTTCTTTTCCTCAAGATTAGCATAACATACCATTTAAAATACTTATGTTTTGAAAACAATATCAGGAAGATGGGGTTTGTTAGCTGCATCACACTGTTGGAGTTGTTCTTAGTCAGACACCGCGAGCTCAGCGGTGGGGCGCTCAGGAATAATGCCCCTAGGAACGCGAAATCCCATAGGACTTCTGACGAGCACAGACACACGTCAGAAGTCCCCCCTGAGGGGGCACACTTTATTAGTTATGAAAAAGTTATTCGTATCGTAGGCAACCATTAGTAAATAAAAAAAATTACTGAAGCCGTCGAAAATCACTTCAAAGCGAAGGCAAGAGTTGTATTTTAGATTACTAACATTCATGTTACAATTATTGTTTTAGTAATCATGAAAAAAACGTTCACATAGTCCCGTACAAAAAACATTTTGGAATAATTGACTTTTCTATTATGTTGGTTAAATTATTGAGCTCTAATATGAGTAGTTACTGAAATTCCATTTTTAAATCTATTTTTAGATTTAAGTTTTGGATTTTTTTTCAATTTTTTAGGATAACAAATATTTTTTGCGCATGAGCTTGGGAAAAGATTCAGTAGTTTTTTCTAAGAAGGCAATTGATGTTAAAACAACGTTTAATTGACGTGGATCCACCGGAACACTGTTTCATCAACGTTGCTACAACGAAACAACGTTTAATTCAACGTTGACACAGCAAAAAACATCAAATTCAACGTTGATTCAGCTCCTGATATCTGGTGGGTTAATGGTTAAAAATTCAGGCAATGGTAGCATAACAAACCTTTCCATTTTTGCTGGTAAGCTTATAGACAAGCTCCTTCATCCTGAGCTTGAGTCTCTCTATCTCAGCGTCGCGCTTCTGCAGCTGTTGGCTGAAGGCTTCCTCAGACTGCTGCTTCCGAGGGCCGCTAGCACCCCACCTCTGGCCCTTCGCTACGCCGTTCGTATCCACAGTCGGCAATAGCTGACTTTTCTGCATAAAAATACGTAATAAACATATATCCATGTTAATAAATAATACTGAACTATCGTCAGACTGCATAATTTTCGAACGTTACAATCGTACCGAGCGTAGGAACATTCGTACCTCTGGAGTCCTACAATGTGTAAGCAAATAATGAATTATTTGTCCAGAACCGACGTTTGTTAACTCTTAAGCTGTGATGATGTTTTGCGACCTAAAAATACTTCTGCTTCATTAATGTAATTTAAACTTGGAGATTCTGTTTGTACAATAATATTTTTTCATGGAAAGAATGAATGCAACAAGCTCTGACCGATAGGACTCGAGAGAAAAAACGCATTACGAGGTTTAAACTGTCTCGCGACTAGACATGTTCTCACCACTGCCGATTGATAAGATTTTCATTCAAAATCACAAATTCTCTTTTCTAGAACTTTACCAAGGGTGAAGAGTGATTCAGTCACCATCTTTGCGAATTCCAATACGAAATCATAAGTCATCCTACGACATTTTATGATCTGATCAGTGATTCATTCTAAGTATTCAAATTCGCTACTCTGTCTTTTACTTGAGTTTATCCAGGGCAGACAGTAATTTAATCAATATATTCAAGCTTATTCTTCTCGTACCTTTTCGAGATTGCGAACTTTGTCTTCGAGTTGTTTGGTCATGGAGGCGAGCTCTGTGTTCTTCCTTTTGAGCTTCAGCAACTCCTGTTGTCGGGTGCGGTCCACCGAACGTTCACAGCTCAGCTCCATCTTGCGCTGCAAATGTTGAATCAAATTTATTTCAGCATAAGCATTTAGGTCCTCTTTGTTACTTACAAGCGAGGCGGTTTGCAAATGAGAACCTTAATTAATGCTTATATACAAGCGAGGCTAACATACATTACTCAAATTACTCAAAAAGAATATAAATAAAGGCTGTTTTTTCTAATATATATTTACTCAAATTTATGATTATGAAATGTAAGTAATTAAAAATAATTTTGTGTGACTAATTCACGACTTTTCCACTAATATTTATTACACTTGAAATTGACTATCCAACCCATACCATTTTGCAACCAATTCAAGCAATCACAGATCCACAACTCAAATTTCCAAAAAGTTCATGTGAGCGAACCAAGGCTATGCGTTATATTCTATTTTAAAAATTCTAAATCTCTCCGTTCAATGTATCACTGTTGAATCGATACATACTTATTTATTATTTTAAATGTTATTTATACGACATGAACAATAATGCAGTAAAGTATGTTAATACGATATGCTTCTCTGAACAGTCGTAAGTGACTTGTAAGTGAATATTTAGTTTAGTTTTAGCTAGGTAAATTAATTTGAACTCGTGTATCCAAGAATTCAAATTCCTTATATCGTTTATTTTCAATGTTAAAAATTTTTTGGGTTATTAAAAAATTATTAAAATTAAAAATTATTGAATTTCAATATTAAAAAAGTGTTTTGAGGTGAACTCACAAGCGCGGTGTTCTGATCGTCGAGGTCCCGACACTGCGTCTGTAGCTGAGATACGCGGCACGACAAGCTCGTCTTCTGGCGCACCAGCGTCACCTCCTTCGGGGTCAACGGTGCTCGGGGCTGTTGGGACAATGTGTATGACATTATAAAACATTAACTTGACATAAGCATAAACAAACGTATACATACATAAAAAATCATAAATCATACATAAATCATACTTGACATTATAAAACATAAACAAGGTATGAAATTATGAAAAGGGAAAGAGTGTAACTTAGGAAATTCTGGAATATTATGATAGTTGATGATCACAAAAGAATATCCTGCTAAATGATGGTGGCACTAGAGATTATCATGGAAAATATGTAGATTCCGAAATAAATTTTGACATACAAAAATAAGTTTTGACTTTATAAAAAAAATTTTGTTTTATATCTAAATGATTATGCACTGCAACGAATTATATTATTCTGTGCTGCCCTATTATATAGTAAATATATGAATATCCGTAAAAATAAGTTAACGCAATTTTAGGTTTTAATGTCTGACCTTGAATTTGGGATTATAAAATAATTGCATTTACTTTGCAGGTTTGTGAAATGACGATGGAGATGGACTCCGAAACGTTTTCATTTATAAAGATTTAATGAATTTCTGTGTCATCTTCTCTGTTTTCAAATAATAATTTTCAAAAATCTTGTGCCATCTTCAAAAATATTTCTGCAACTCTATTACACAGCGAAATCAAAGGAGTTAATAAAAGTGAAGGCTAATTTGCGGCCGCAAATGAGAAAATGAGGTTTGCACTCATTAAGGTTTGCTGAAAATTCCACGCGCGTCTATCGGCCACCGCGAAGCCTGTGCATTGGAACGACGCTTGGGCCAAAATGCTTGGCAAGTACAATGGCCTCCCCTACCGGAAAATGACGTTAAAAAACGTTGAAAACGTTTATTTTGTTTAAACAATGTTTAATCAACTTTATTTCAATGTTTGATGTCCGGTAGTTCTTTCCCAGCTCATGTAAATGCGCTGAGATAATATTGGAATATTTTTTAACTTCCTCACTGCATACAAGGACTTATCGATAAATTCGTGAGTAAAGTAGAACTACGTATGTATAAATTATAGTGATAATTGATGCACGATACGAGTTTGTGTAACAATGAATTCTTGTTTTAGTTCGTTTGTAACGCATACGAATTCATTTTTTACGCGCGTCTGTTAACGCGAGTTTTCAAGCTGTTAATCAAGTCCACCGGCCACTGAAGGTGGGAAACTAGGGTGGACTGATGACCGGAAGCCGTCCCCTCCTCCCACCCTTCCCCCTACTAGCTCACCCTTCCCCTACCCACACCAACCCGTCCTTAGTACTCCCCCACCTCAATCCCTCCCACACCAACCCGTCCTTAGTACTCCCCCACCTCCCCCCCCCTCTTCACTCGCCAAACTCCAGCTTTTATTCATAGATTTTTTTAACTTGACCAGCGTGAAAACTCACAACTTAAGCAGCACCATAACTTACAACTTAAGCTGCACCAGAACCTACAACCTATGCAGCATAAGGACTCACAACTTGAGTAAAGTTAGATTTTATCATTGGAGCAGCGTCAGAACTTACAACTTAAGCAGAGTCAGAAGTTAAAAGAAACGTAGAGTGCTGATTTGTTTGTCTTGTCGAGAGCATAACATTTAGTAAGTGAGTAGTAGAATGTTTTGCTATAGCGCTTCAACTATCAAGCTATTTTGCACCGGAGGTCAAAAGATAACATCGCCAGCAAAGCGGAAGGTCTCAATTATTATTCAAAATTTCAAATTAATCATCACCCACAAGGGGTGGAAGGTCTCAAGAATCCTGACCGCTGAAGCTGGCTCGAAAAAAGCAGCGTTAGCATCTCAAAGAGACGAAGTGACAAGGAGAGACAGATGACAAGAAGGGAAAGGAGGCAGAAAGGGACAAGTGACCAGGAGGGACAGGTGAAAAGCAACAGAAACTAAGACACTCGAACAAGAGGTCGCTTACACGGGACGTCGGCCGCCCGCACGAGAGAGACAGAGAAGGGAAATGCAAGGAATCCTACCTACATAATAACTTAATGTAACGAATCCTACCTACACAAATAACTTTATATAAGGAATCCTACCTACATAATAACTTAACCTCACAACTGAGACTTGCAGTCAGAGACACCGCGAGCTCAATAGCGATCCCCCTAGGAACGCTAAATCCCATAGGACTTCAGACGAGCATAGACACACGTCAGAAGTCCCCATTGAGGGGACAAAGCTATTTAAAAATTCCTTTCAGAACCACAATATTATACAATATTCATAGAAATTAATGCTCTTATTGAAAGGAATCATGAAAAATGAATTATCAGGATGTATTAGGGCACAACGAGAGAAAGTGTTGCGTGCATAAAATAAAATAAAATATATATATGTTTAGTAGAGAACCTAATAATCTGAAACTTGAAATCAAAAGTCTGAAGTATCCATAAAATCCATTCACCACAGCAATTTTTTTAAATTAAGCATCCACACTATTCAGTTTCTATGTAAACCCTTTTATTATAATTTAGAAATTCATTCAGAAACTTCGTTTCATATTTTCAAAAGAGAAAAGGGGGAGCAGAATTAGCGACATGATTAACGCTGTTATAAACTCAATAGTTTTCTCCCGATACAAGCCGAATGATTAAAACTTAATAAGAAATTCCGCGTTAAAATGGCGTGCGATAATTGATTATCCAACCTCAGAACCGGTGATCTGAATTGAAGGTCATTGCCCTGGAATTTGGGAGCAGCGCACGATTAATTTTTCCCATAAATTAAGCTTACCTGGATTCAAATATCCACATTTTTCATGGTCAGAATGGTGAAAATTTCAATATATTCACTGCACACCTTTTTATAACCTCCACAAAAAAACTATAACATTTAATCAGATTTAAATTAATGAAAAAAATTCGCGACGAAACACAGGACCAAAATTAATTCTTATACACCGATCATTCATACCAATTATCTGTTTTTTTCAGTTGCATAAATTAATTATTTCAAGGCAAGCGGATGACATTACTTTTTCATCTTTCATTCGCGTATGGAGAAAAACGCAGGTTTAAGAAAACCACGTTCAGTGTTACTAAAACCTCCCCTTGAATAAAATAGATTCATTAAAAAATCCATGGTATAATTAACTAAAAATTCGAGTAAATTTAAATTGTCACGTTACAAGTTTGGACGACTGAGTGAAGTACAAATTATTGTCATTACTGATAAATTAACTGACCTTAACTGACGATTGGTCATAATTGATGAAGTTTTCACAACGAGACAGCCTTGAAACTTATTATTGTTGTATTCAGTCAATTAGACAACAAAATTTATTCAACGATAAATGGGAAATTGAGAAAAATTAATGCAAGAATCGTAGCTACGTAAAGTAATTTGCTCGCGCTCAGGAAAACGTGAAATTATTTGCTTACGAGAAGCCGTCCGTCTTGAACACAGCACAATAAACCAAAGCACAATAATCTTCGAGACGACCAAATTTTGGCACACATTCTATAATAAAATCCGGCCATAAGCTCTACGATCTTCGATTTCACTGTCAGTATTTATTATGATAATTTTTTAACAACATAACCAAGCGTTCACAAGGCAATTGGCTCCCTCAAACATTCCACCTCCGTCCCTGATGGGGGTTACCCCGTAACTGAGTGGCGGCGGCGGTTAATGGTGGTTCCAGTCACAGGTGGTTCCCGCATGCACCTGCCATTCGGCTGACGCTGACGTCACGAAGAAGCCGAAAAATCGTTTTTTTCCGAATAAAAAAAATGGGGACAAATGATAACGCTATCTACAAACAGTTGATAATATGTTTTCAAATATATTATTAATTTCAAAGTTACTGGTAATTTTAAATTTAAAGTTCAAATATTTTGCGACGTATGCGTAAAGAAATGCATGATAAAACAAAGTGAACATTTCGAGAGGGCCGAGCGCGGTGACCAGTTTCGTGCTGTTAGGTTAATGTGCGATCAAAAAAATATATAAATTAGCAAAACGAAATCGGTATAAGTGAACATACTCGTAAAATTATCCAATTCTGCTCCTTTATAAACCCGTGATCTTCTAACCTGAGGGAGCAAAATAGCAAAATGTGACGGTGGAATGGCCATCACGCACGCCGCAGAATAGCGGTGGTCACAGGCACCACGTACGCTGGTCGGGTCATGCGAAACTCCGTGACTGAGGCTCAGGCAAAATTTCAGTGAAAAATCATCGTTCACGTCGGGAATCAGGTTGACGGAACAACAAATACAGGAGACGACAATAGTTTTGATGAGAAGCAATTGCTTTCTTTATCGGCAATGTGCGTCATTTATTTTACAGGTAAAAAAATAAACCTGTACAGGTAAAAGGTAAAAAGGTAAAGGTTAAAAATAAAAGGTATAATACAGGTTTAACCTGTATTTTTACAGGTAAAAAAATAAAAATAAAAAATCTCATCTCAAGACTCGAATATTACGTTGCTGCGTTATAGTTCACATCTCGCACATATAAATTTTAATTGAGTTGTTGTACACAATATTTGCACAAGCGAAAATCTCTCCATCTAAAACATTACGTCGTTACTGAGAATTGTAGGTGACTTTTTTCTCAAATATAAATGGCCAATGGTCGAAATTACCATCAGGAGTGCAGACGAGGAACTTTTACCCCAAATTAATTTTCTTTTACCCCTAATAAATTGTGGAAAATCATTGCATAAAACCACTTCCACATACAATGAGCTCAGATTTGTTGCTTTAAATTCATTCAAGAATATTTAGTTCAGGACATTTTTGTAAACAATTGCTCGTTGGTCCTTACCTAAAATTCAGCAGCGAATTGAATGGACTGAAAAGAGTTTTTTTTTAAGAAAAGAAGCAAAATTGAGAGCCAAGCATTGCTTTGTGTCACTGTGTCAGTCGAACAGTTCAACAGATTCTGCAAGTCACGCTGGTTTTCAAACCGAACAAAGCTTAATGTAACCAATTCACCGAGTTGTAGCAGTGCGATGAGTCTGAATGAACGTGCCGAATTAGTCATCGTGAGTGAGTCACAACGATAG